TTTATCTTCTGAGAATGGGAATGATGGACAAGAGGTGGATATTTTCACAGAGAGGCAGATTTCCCCCCCTCTGGAGAAGCCAATAGTAGACAGCATCCAAGATTGAATATTAGGCTGGAGAGACCTTACTTGCATGGGATGACAGCTCTGCTGTGATTATTCCACCACAGGCTCCATTGCGGGTGATAACAAGGTCACATCAAGCCACTTCTGGCAAGCCAGGCACATGGAGATGTAATCCCTTCCCCACCCCCGTGCCAGAATGCCTCATAAGTTAACACAAGACACTTGCAAAGAATACGCCTGCACCCAAAGGAACAAAAGTGCAGTTCCATTTAGGTCATGCAACCATGTCTGCCAACACGACAACTAAACTGGAATATTTTAAGCCAGGTCACCTATGAATTTGGAAAGCTTCACACACCCAGAGACCACACTGGAAAGAACCTGGGACCTGTCTTCTGTCTTTCAAGAAGAAAATGTGAGTATATCCCAGCATCACTATTCCCCTGTGAACCATGGCATGAAGGCAGCAAAACTTGTGGGAGAGCCCTGCAGAACTAAGAGTACCAACTTGCAGTTTGACCCTTGTTTGCAATGATGGAGAGAGTTTCCATTTTGGGGGGAGGGGAGTATGATTTCCACCAATTCTCCTCTCCCAGGTCCCTGCCACACGGCAGGAAAAACACCAGCCAAAGTGCGGCTAATTTGAGCCGCACCAAAATAGAGACGCCGCGGCGGGATCCCACGGATCCCCTGAGCTGCGGCGCCATTGCTCCCCGGCATGATCAGATGCCGGGGAGGAAGACACGGTCGGGGGGGGGAGACTGCTGAACTGTGCATGTGTGAGCATGCGCAGTTCAGGCAGGAGCCGGGGATGCGTCGACGGAAGGACGCACCGGCGATCCCATGGCCGGCCGTGATGCGAACTTTCCGGATGAACCACCTCGGTAGGTGGTTCCTTTTTGCTGTGGGGTTTTCGGCAGAAGGGCCGGATCGGGAGCGGGCGCGCAACACTTCCCAGATGTTGTGGTGGGATCGCGCCCGTTTGCTGCGCCCCCAATCCGGCCCTCTCTTGGCCCAAAACCTCTCGTGTGACCGGGGCCCCACTCTTCAATCCCACCCCAATCTTGCTCTATATGCTGTCTTTGAGGGTCCACTGACCCTCATGAACAAAAGTTTGAGAGCAGTAGGAAGCGAATGTAGGGAAGCCCCCTCTGTGAGCCCTGTGCCATGAGTGGATCTCAAGAAGTAAGAAGTACATTACGAGGGAAAGCCAGGGGCCATTCACAGGAGAGAATCACATACCAGTTTTTGTTGTAATCTGAGCTCCTCCAGCTGTCATGAACTCAATGTTTCCAAGCTGCAGAATGCCAGACAGAAGTTTGAAAATGTCCCGGATCTCTTCAGAACTGAATCCCATCACCTCAAGAGCAGTCTGCTCAAAACACATTTAAAGCATGTTATCCATACCTCTAGGAAGAAACTAATATCTAGTGTTAACTACTCCCCCTCCTTCCCAACACAGACACCAGGATCTTGCTGTTTCAAGAGGCAATCCAGAACTCATGAATTTTGGCATATAACCCTACTGAATTCTGTGGAATTTGCTACTGCAGAGGCACACTTTGGACTGAGTTACACAGTTCTCATGAGTTCTGGTTCAGTCAAATGGAATGGACAGAAACACCTTGAAAGCCACATCTCCCTTTCCTTCTCCTAGGTCCTATTCTGATGTCATGAAAAAACCACTCAGGACAAAGAAGAAAAAAGGGGGGAAAGACTGAACCTAAACCTAGAATTCAGAACTTAAAAAGGTTAGTCAAGAATAGAAGAGGGCCAACTCTAAAAATCTAATTATAAAACATACAAAAATATACATGTATTTATTCAACATAAATTAAAATAACAAACAAGAGCCCATTCCTACCTCATATACAAATATAAAAACATACAAGGCCTAATAAGATAGACCTAACGCGTTTCGGCCTTTACAGGCCTTCCTCAGAGGTCTAATACAGACAGAACATGTTGGCTGATAGGCAAAAATACATACATATATGGAATAAAGACCAGAAACCAATTGTTCCAAAGTTTAACCACTGGGCAAAGAAAAGAAATACAAAAATACAAATGAAGCCTCCAGTGTAAATCACCTGTCCAGTAGTACTTCTCTCTGGTCAACTGTATATTCTTCTGAGATTGTACAGCCAAATGTTCCCAATAAAATGTTCCTTAGGTTAAAAGCAGTGTTGAGTGTGCATGTACTAACCAGGGACTATTTTATTTTTTTTAGTTGTCCATTTTGTGTTTTGTTCCTTGCAGAAGCCCAGTGCTTAGTTTCATATTCTTGAGCTTGCGAAGTGCAGATAAGGCCACTTGCAGACTATTAGCTTTTGTTGCCGAGCACTGAAACCAAAAACTTTTTTTTTTTTTAAGGAATGGCCTTGGACAGCTGAACGTGATTGGGGCTCCCAGTATGTGAATGTCAGTTAGTTCAGCTTCCAATTACATCTGTCAAATACTTTATTTACAAATGTCAAACTCCCTGACTGGTTTATTGGGATCAGGTGAACCTGGTTGCTAGATCCAACTGGTAATTAGTGCCTATGGTCAGGTGTTCCCAGAAGTGGTTAAAAATGAAGTCTTTTCCTATCTTCTTTGTCTAACTTTAAAGCCTTGGCTGGTTATGCTAAAGTAAAGGTAAAGGTTCCCTTGCTCGAAAGCCAGTCAAATCCGACTCTAGGGTTGCAGTGCTCATCTCCGTTTCAAAGCCGAAGAGCCAGCGCTGTCCGAAGACATTTCCGTGGTCATGTGGCCGGCATGACTAAACATCAAGGTGTTAAAAGGTGCTATTATTATGCCATTTGGAAGCCCTGAAACTCTGTTAGATGAACTGAGATTATTGTGGTCTGCCTTTTGAACTGCTGTAAGGTGAGTGTTCTTTGTTGTGCTTCAAGAATTGCTGTGGATAACTGGTGCTGGTAATTTAGTTAGAGATATTAAAACCTTTTTTATTTTCTGTTCACATAGTACCCTCTCTGAGGGGCAATTCCCGGATGCACTCAAGGAAGCGATGGTTATGCTAAAGGGTGCTGTTATTATGCCATTTGGAAGCCCTGAAACTCTGTTAGATGAACTGAGATTATTGTGGTCTGCCTTTTGAACTGATGTAAGGTGAGTGTTCTTTGTTATGCTTCAAGAATTGCTATGGATAACTGGTGCTGGTAATTTAGTTAGAGATATTAAAACCTTTTTTATTTTCTGTTCACATAGTACCCTTTCTGAGGGGCAATTCCCGGATCCACTCAAGGAAGCAATGGTCCGCCCACTTCTGAAAAAACCATCTCTGGATCTGGCCATATTGGCCAACTATCGGCCGGTTTCCAATTTGCCCTATTTGGGCAAATTAATCAAGAGGGCGGTGGCGACACAGTTGCAGGGCTTTCTGGATGACGCTTCCGTATTAGATCCCTTCCAGTCCAGCTTCTGCCTGGGACACGGGACAGAGACAGCGCTGGTCGCTCTGACGGATGACCTCTAGAGGCATCTGGATTGGGGCGGTGTGGCAGTACTGCTGTCGTTAGATCTGTTGGCCGCGTTTGACATGGTCGACCATCAGCTGCTGACCCACCGCCTTGCCGAGTTGGGGATTCAGGGGCTGGCCTTGCAATGGCTTGCTTCCTTTCTCCAGGGTCAGGGACAAAGGGTGGCGCTAGGGGAACAGCAGTCCAGGAGACACCCACTGGAATGGGGTGTGCCTCAAGGGACAGCGCTGTCCCCGACTTTATTTAACTATATACGCCCCCTTGCCCAGATTTCCCGGAGGCACGGGCTGGGTTGCCATCAATACGCTGATGATACCCAGCTCTATCTGATGTTGGACGGCCAGTCGGACTCCAGACCGGAAGATCTAGACCGGGCTTTACAAGCCGTGGCTGGTTGGCTCAGGCTGAGCCGGCTGAGACTGAATCCGGCGAAGATGGAGGTCCTGTGCCTGAGTCGGAGCAGTTCGGGGGTGGGATTCCCGTTCCCGACCTTCGGTGGGGCACCATCGGTGCCAGCGTCAGAGGTTAGGAGTTTGGGAGTGCTCCTGGATGCCTCCTTAACAATGGAGGCACAGGTAGCAGCCACTGCTAAGTCGGCCTTTTACCACCTTCGGCTGATTTGGCAGTTGGCTCCCTTCCTCGGCCTGGCTACAGTGACCCATGCAATGGTTACCTCGAGACTAGACTACTGTAACGCTCTCTACATGGGGCTGCCCTTGTCACAAATCCGGAGGCTGCAGCTAGTGCAGAACGCTGCGGCCAGGCTGGTGATGGGCCTCCCTAAATGGGAGCACATCCAGCCTGTGCTGAAGGCACTGCATTGGCTGCCAATAGCATACCAAATCCGCTTCAAGGTGCTGGTATTGACCTTTAAAGCCCTATATGGCCAGGATCCGACATACCTGTGGGACCTCCTTTCCCCATATATACCCCAGCGAGCACTACGGTCAGGAACACAACATCAACTGCGTTCCTGGCCCTAAGGACGCCAGGCTTGTGGCCACCAGGGCCTTTTCAGTGGCGGCTCCACACTGGTGGGATGAGCGTCTGGGAGAGATCAGGGCCCTGTGGAACCTTTTGCAGTTCCACAGTGCCTGCAAGATGCAGCTCTTCCACCGCTTTCAATTAGGAGCCACCACTCCTCACCCACCACCACCAACATCAGTGGTTTTGGGTTGGCTCTGGTCCCGGGGAGGGTTTGCGTTATATTATCGCACCAAGCTGAAGATCATCGATGCCGATAAAAATGGTTAGTACGCCATCTGAATTATTCAATGATTACCATCAAAGAGTACCATCACTAGCACTTCAATTGTTAATTGTTGGACTGTTTTTAATGCTTAATATGTTGTGGTTGTAAGTTGTTTAAATTTTGTACATGGTTTTTATGGTACAGGGTACCAATTACTGTAAGCCACCCTGAGCCTGCTTGCGGGGAGGGCAGGGTATAAATCAAAATAATAAATAAATAAATACATTGGTACTGCTTTGCACCATAAATATTTTTTTTTTTTAGTTACATACCTATTTAGTGTATTTCTGTCTGGGGTTTGCAGAAGGCTTTTCTAGTTGTCTTTTTGGCCCCACCAATATTGTGTGTGTGTGTGTGTGTGTGTGTATGGAACTCCTAACTCTCTAGAGAGGGTTTGGATTTCTGTCTAATGTCCTAAAGGAAGCAGAGTTGGCTTATGCTTTGCATTCCTGGACAAAGCAAACCTGGTGGCAGACTATTGTGGTCTAGGAGCAAGGGTAACTTGACTTCTGGTTTTGTTAATATTAGTCCAGAGTGCTCTGCCCATCAGGGGCTCCAACCCAACCTCCTGCTGGGTTGGCATAGGAGTGTTGAGGTCTGGTGACAACGGCCAGGTAGGAGCATGCTTATACCCAGAATAAAGCTTATACTGAGAATAAAGCAACTGAACTCAAGATTTGTCCCCTTAAGTCACATTGAACATCCATGGCCAGAAGTAACTCTCTGCATTTCTTTGGTGGGAATTGGACCTGGATGTTTCTTGGATCTGGAAGAGCCACTGGAAAAAGATAACACTTAACATTTCCAGGCTTTTACTTGTCAGTTGATAGTCTTCCATTCCCTTCCTTTTTTTTACCTGATTCTATTGTCTGAGCACCTGTCTCTGAATTAATCCACTGTATGGCACATTGCTTTGAAATTGCTTCATAAATAATAAATGTTATTATATTTTCCCCCTTCCCCCCTCCTACACACGCCAAATTCTCTATCTTTTCTGCCTTGCAAATTAGTGCCCTTAGTCTGCAAAAATATGTCCTTCCGCCTGTGCTTCTTGAGTGAAGGACCAAACATGGCAGTGCAAGATTACAGGAGGGGTAGGAACAGAAAGACCATTACTAGTAGGCAGACACTTAAAAGGTCTGCAAACCAAGTTACCTCAGAGGACATTGCCTCCAATTATCATTCACTAAAGTACACAGTTTCCCTGACCTGGATAGTCCAGACTGGCCTGATCTCGTCAGATTTCAGAAGCTAAGCAGGGTGTCAGCAAGCTGCCAAATGTGTTTCTGCTTTCACTTTCACGCACATTCCTTTCCGTGCGCGCTTAATTGCTTTGCCGCAGCAACAAGTATCTCTCAAGGCCGCTGGAGACATTGCTTGGGTTATTCCGCAGATGAGTCGTGGGAAGCGTTACCTGTTATGCTTATTAGTACAGTTAGTTCTCAAGCCTAATGGCGCGCACGGGAAGTCCCGCAATTGGGTCTTGGTGATTTGAATGTACTATATCTTGACATGCTCTTTGGTTGCAAGTTATTCCTAACAGTGTTCCTGTCAATGCACCTTTAGCTTCAATAGAAGTAAAACCTTTCTACAAGCGTGTACTTCGTTGTCGCTGGGGGGACCTGACACAGGGTCGGC